GCTGTATTTATTTACGAACTAAAAAGCCTGGCTCAACTCTGAAGAAATTTCGATTATGTTTCTGGAGAATAAGGTTTGGATGTAGAAGATCATCAGTTTCCATCTATGAAGCTAGAGATTTTTGGCTATTGACTAGGTGAAATTAGTTCATGGATCAGTTATCCATCAACTCTTTCTGTTTACTCTGTAAAACAAACAGTTGGGGTTTTCTTGAACTCCTACAAATGTTTTCTCACTAGAAATGCCCTGGAACAAATAGGCAGAAATGTCTTTCACCTTTAGGACAAGTCTACTGGTCAGTTCATGATAGTGGCAGCAAACGCTTCATGGCCATTTTCATTGAAATCTCTCTTTCTCAATCCTGCTTTTGGACAGGATACAAATGTTAAGTAAATAACCATACAAACTGATTCTGTCTTATAGAGTAGCCAGATCTCAGAGTCTGGAACCTCTTCTCCAGTTCTCTGGGTTAGAGAGAGGATTCTCAGAGCAAGAGCACTGCCTTGAAAAGTTTGTGCATTTTCGTATATTCCTCATTAGTTAGACCTGACATGTTTTCTTTGAATGACATGCACTGTGCCACTTTGATGCTCTAGATATCATGTTTAATGGCGTCATATAGGGGCTGCTCATTGTCTTATCACCCATGTAATATCTCCAAAGCCCACTCCCCTGTGACATCTGAAGGGGTTACCATGGTTCTCATGGGATAGTCCGGACCTGGAAATCCAACTTCTATTAATCTATTAAAACTACAGCTGGCCCTTCGTATTTGTGGCTTTGACTTTTGCGGATTTGGTTATCTGTGGTTTTGATTAATATGTTCTCTCTAGGAATCTCTAAGTCCTCCAGCGCAATTCTGCAAGAAGTTGACCATAGACTTATGCTGGAGAACCTAGACGTTCCAAGAGAAAACATTTCTCTAGGCATTTGTAGGTCCTCCAGCATGACTCTATGATCAACCTCTGGCAGACATTGACCACAGAGTTCCACTGGAGGATCTGGAGATTCCTAGAGAGGTGTTCTCTTGGGTAAAAAGAATAGTGTTTTTTTATTTGTGATTTTTCCATATGCATGGGCTCCTTTACCCCTAACCCAGGAAATGTGCTGGGACCACTGTGTAGGCAATCTGTGTAGGCAAGACACCAGATCCCATCTGATCTTGGAAGTTTGGCAAGGTCAGGCCTGGTGAGTACTTGGATGGGAGATGGTTAATAAACACCAGGTGCTAGAGACAATGGGCCTAAGCAGAAGGGTGGCCGTGGGCCGCCCCGGGAAGCTGCAGATTGGGGCCGAGGTAGCCGCACTCCTCAGCCCCAACCCGCGGCGTCCCAGGCCCTGGAAGGAGCGCTAAAATAGCACTCCTTCCGCAAAACGCTGAAGGTGTGCCGCAAGAGACCTTGGGCGCACCTTCGGTGTCTCTTCCGCCGCAGCGTGTGCGGACGCTGCTCCGGAATTACATTGTCGAAGCCCCAGTCATGCAGAGCGATGGGTGCTCCGATGACATGTTCAGGAAGGGGTTGGGGCACCCAGCGTGAGGCTGCCCCTCCCCTTCCTTGCCTCGAAGATGGCACAAGGCCGTCTGTTTAGGCCTAATATCTCAGAGGAAGGAATTGACAGTATTCCTTACCTAAGGAGTAAGGAATATTCCTTGTCTAAATATTCTTTACCTAACAAATCCTTCTAAACACTATGAGGACACCATAAGTCAACAGGCAACTTGAAGGCACACACACAATCTCCAGCTTGACTTACATGAGGAGAGTCATGTTTCTCTGTACTTTGGATCTTGGCAAATGACTTTTAAAATGTAAACAGATACCATTAAAAGCCAATTTATTCAAGGCTAGAGGAGTTGGGACTTTGTTCCACTCTTGCTGTAGCCTTCCTTGCAGTCAAAAAGCTGCTCTAGGGAGTTTCTCAGAGCTCCAGAGCAGGGGTCAATTCACACTACACAAATATAGCACTATGATTCCACTTTAACTGCCACCTTAACCTACAGAATGCTGGGCTTTGCACAGACTCATAAAGTTGGAAAAGACCACAAGGGCTATCCAGTCCAAACCCTTTCTGCCATGCAAGAACACACAAGCAAAGCACCCCCAACAGATGGCCATCCAGCCTCTGTTTAAAAACCTTTGAAATGCAGAGGGGGATCGGCCAGCTCCAATAGATTTTTGCACCCCTCAACTGTCCTGATTTGGTTGGGGTAGTCCCAGTTAATTCTCCATTGTCCCAGTTTTTCACCTGCTTTTAAAATGTCTCTTCCTCCTACTTTCTCCCTTGGTTCTCAGCATACCTCAATTGCTGCAAAGTGAGTTCGAAATGCAAAAGTGTTTGTGCTCAGTTAACTCAGGAAGGGGGAAAGGAGACCAGAGGGCAGAATCTTGCCCTTCCCAGTAGGATAAGGCAAAAGCAAATGGCTGCAACCTCTCCTAGCTTGCTTTCTCTTCCTCGTGAGTAATGTTTGCCATCTTGACCACATTGTGGTGTTGCTTGGCCACACATCTGTCCCAGTTTGCGCTTGTGAAATTTTCGAGAATATGGATTCCATAGTGTGAATGGATGGTATGCAATATGGGGCTTTTCTTTCACCACCAAGTGGGCAATGCATAATGGGTGAAATGTTTTTCTCTTTAATTGCAAAATTGTCATAAGAGGCTTTTATAAAATTAGACCTGCCTAGTTTGATAAAATGTGGAGAAACAGTTAAAAGAACTGCTGGGTCTTCCTTACTGATTTTCAAAGCCCTTTTTAGCTCCTGAAATTGTGTAAACATTTACTGGTCTGCCAGTTTCCATCCCATGTAGGGGCCTTTGCTCCACCTCCTCTGGCATGTAATAAATATTCAGTCAAATCTTGCTTAGTCATTGATCTAAATGAGTTGAAGCGGAGAAGGCTTTCAGCAATAAGGACCATATCTTTCCTTAGAGCATTTTCTCTCACTGTTGCCTTCCAGAGTGCTAGCAAATCTTTTTTCAAAAAGAGAGAGAGAATTGCCTAGGATGGACTTCCTTCCTTACTTCTCCACTGAGACTTGGGCTCTTCTAATCATATCCATAGGTCTCTTGCTGCTGTAAGTAACATTTGATATATCATTCAAGTTCCTTTTTTAAAAAAATAAAGTATTTTGTTTATTTGATATACACATCAAGACAGAAAAAAAAAAGAACATATGAGGTACTGGGGGGAAACGACAATCACAAAAACAAAATGCAATGCATAGTCAAAACAGTGCTGTACTCTGTATCAAGGGGGGGGCATCCCTACCACATTGTAAAGTTACAAATCATAGCCTCTGATGTAGCTTCTAGGTTGGTATTTATAATTTTTAAAAGTGAAAGAGAAGTGCATTAAGTGTGAAGATGTGCTTAGAAATGTGCTTTTCTGGGCTCAGATCATATGCATCTCCAAACTGTGTGCCTTGTGGGTGCCTGTTCTTAGAATAAGCCAAATAATATTTCCTTCACTGATACACAATCTGTACCTAAATCCTGTTGGCAGTGGCAACATTAAGTGGTTTGTGTGGGTGCATCCCAAATCAGGTGACACCTCAGAAGAGGAGTTACACCCAGTCAGGCCCTCCTCCTATTGCATTCAGACACACCAGAGCAGAGGTTTAGGGTTGTAGATGGGGCAATATTTACCTGTTCTGAAGAGGAGACCATGGAAAGCGGTGTGTGGCTCAGTCTGTATGTGAGAGTGACACAATGAATAGAAGAGTCTCTCTGTGCACATGCAAGGCTAGAGCTGAGATTGATATTTATACCTGAGATCCCAGACTCAAGTGCTAAGTGCTATCTTGCAGCATAGCAAAGACTTGATGGTCTTCCCCAGGAATAGACAAAGATGTTGGAACAACTGATGGCTTTAAGTTTGGGAGTAACCAAAACATGAATTGGATTTTGGACAATCCCAAAATAGATGAATAGGGAAGTTGGCTGGGAACACAGCAGGGAGTAGGTAGGAAGTGTTGGTTTACTTATCAGTGCCTTTGTTTCTGGTGCAAGAGGGTATGCAGAGAGCCTGGCAGGAGGACAGAGTGATCAGCAAACCCATTTAGCTTTTATCTTAGCATTACCTGGGCCCTTCACATGTTTGGAGGTCTTCCCATGGGAAAGACTACTGGTGTTCCAAAGGTCATCATCACCTCTTCAAAACATTCTTGCCTCCAGATGTAAAAATTTGAGAATAAAGAAGCCCCAAATATAACACAGGGTATGTCGGGTATGCTAACAGTAATTTCCAGGACTTGTGTGTTTACCAGACAGCTTCCCAGCCTACTCCTGTGGTTGCTCTAAGAAATAGGATGCAGTTGTTTTCTGACTATGTAGTCGCTGAAGAGACTGAAGAGAGGATACCAGGGGAAAAAAATATGGTAATATGATGGTATGTGATGTCCTTGGAACTCATTGCTCTTTATTGAGACCCATTTAGGCCTCAATAGAGCAATGACCTCTAAGAAGGGAGGTGTGATAAGGTTGTTCTAAGAACTGTCTATTTTAAGTAGAGTTGCAGCCTGATAGCAGGTAGTTAAGTGAAAGGCTCAACAAACAGAGAGGGAAACCCAGCCCAGTGATATGTGATGGGAAAGGCCTCCTGGAGAGAAGGGGAAAAACAGAGATAATACGTTAGCAGTTAGTCTTCAGTGAGATTCCCACCTCAATGTAACTGAGACCTAGCATGAGACAAAGAGTTCAGATAGCTGAGAAGGAGATGCAGAGATGCTATGTTAATGGAAGAGAGCTGGATGAAGAGCTACAATTGTTTGTCATGCAACGAGTTTTTATGTACCAGTTCTGAACTTAAGATGAACTTATATAAGATACCTTATGATGGTTGTTTCTTCAATAAAAATTACTGTTTAGTGATAGCAGCTGACTCTGACTGAATTGCTTTCAGTCACAAGACAGAAGAACAAGCTACCAAAAATACATAAACTGGATTCAAAGGAAGCCTTGTGAGCCACAGCCTTATACACAAAAAAGGTGGAAATGGTAGCCAATGTGGCATGATGGTTTAAGTGCTGGACTATGACTCCAGGAGAGCAGGGTTCGATTCCCAGCTCCGCCATGAAACCCACTGGGTGACCTTGGGCAAATCACATGCTCTCAGCCTCAGGCCCAGGTAATGGCAAATCTCCTCTGACCAAATATTGCCAAAAAATCCCCATGATAGGTTTGCCTTAGGGTAGCCATAAGATGGAAACAGCATGAAGCCACACAACGACAACAAAAGGAGGAAATAGGGTAATGGAAATAGGATAAAAGTATTAGTGACAAGGTAACTTCTGAGGTAAGAAGAATGGAATCAAACTAGTCCTAATAGTCCTAGAAGATCTTTGTTCCTCAGGGTCCCATTAACACAGGGATGTCTGTCACTATACCACCTAACCCTTGGCAACTCATCCTTATGGAATGAGAGAAGCAACTGCATCAGAACCAATGTGGGAAACCAAAGAAGTGTCTCATCTGAAGTGACCCTTTCACACATGCAGTTTGTCATTTGATGCCACAGTTTCCAAATCGTGTACAGGCATGTATAAATGGACCCATTCAAGTCTATGGGACTTATCTGCCTTAGGACAGTTCCACAAGTTGTACCAAAGCCTGATGATGTAACAGTCTTTGTTTTTACATGCACCATGGCCACTGTTATCATCTACCAGTCAGATATTCCTGAACTTTTATAAAAGGTATTGTTTTGCTTTATAGATATGGGATCTGGCCTTATGGTGTCTTCAAAAAGTTGGGCATTCCAGGACCTACACCATACCCTTTCATTGGGACTGCCATGGCCTATCGCAAGGTAAGCTCACAAAACTATTCGTTTTTATTAGCCATATATGAATATTGATGACTTCTAAGGCTGCCAGGACCTTAGTTCCTAGGCCTCCCCTCTCTTTTGCTTCACTTTGCTATGCAAAGATGAACAAACGTCTTCTTGGGAACTAATCGCAGTTCCTTATGAAGTCTGAATTCAGGCAACTGTGGTTTGTTAAAAACTAGTCTACAGTCTAGGATTAACCTTTGGTTCCAGATCATGCCTTGTTCTCAGCCCATAGCGTAAACTAACCACAGCTCCTTCACCACATTTGAATATTATGGGGATGCCTGGTTTCATGTTTTTCTTATTATACTGTGAGCTACCTAGCAGCTGTAATGGTTTGTGATCAGGTTACCTGAAAGACTTTATTCTTCTATACACACACGTCTACAAACCGAGATCTTCCTCAATAGCTTTCTCCACATAAAGAGGCTGGATTGTTGAATTCACAGTTTGTCCTTTTCTCTTTATCATCCCTTGTCTTATGGACTACTCTCTTAGTGAAGGCTGGTGGCTCTGACGTAAATGGGGCAGGGACTCTGCTCCGAGTTGTAGTCCAAACTTTAAAGAAGGGATCCAAGAGACTGGTCTTGTTTTGAGAATAGGATTTGCCACCTTGGACAGAACCGTTGAATTTGGGACTTCAAAACCCAAAGCTACCGGGGGAGGACAGAGCCTTTACTGAATGACCCGGTCTCATGGCCTGCAATTTTTTATTATCTAGTCTGCTTTTTGTTAAATTTTGTCATAACTGGTTGTAGTAGATTGCTGTGCTGTATTTTTTATTCAATATGAAAACATTTCATTACAGGGACTACTGGAATTTGACAAAGCCTGTTTTAAAAAATATGGAAAAATCTGGGGGTGAGCATACATTTCTCTCTTTTTCCTTATTTTATGTATTTATTTCATTTCTGTGCTGCCTTTCTCCCAGAAAGGGACTCAAGATGCCACACAAATAAAACCATTTAAAAACTTTACAATAAAAAAATGTAAAAGACAATTAAAATCTAGCTTAAAATAGTATAAAATTACATCAACATCCGAAAGTTTAAAAACATACTTTAATTGTAAATGTGAATTGAGTGTTAGATTAATTGACCCCAAACTTAGTTGATCAATTGGGAAGGGGAAAAATTAAGCCATTGGGATGCAATGAGCTTGAATTTGATTAAAACCAGAAAGTATTTTGTTAGTGAGAAAATGGGGTTATTATTGTTTTGTACTACATCACCCTAGCATAGCCACTGGTCATCATGATAGATGGAAGTACTGAGGTTTGCGTAAACCTTATTTATTTAAAGATATAGCCGTGTTAGTCTGTAAATCAGTATGTAGAGAGAGCTTGTAGCACCTTTGAGACTCACTGAAAGAAAGAAATTGGCAGCATGAGCTTTCATAGTTTAAACCTAAAATCTACGAAAACTCATTCTGCTAACTTCTTTCTTTCAGTTAGGGCCTTTGCAGACTGCCAGAAATAGTGCAAATTGAGTCCACTTTTAGGGTTAGGGTTAGGGAATCATGGGAACTGTATTTTATTGTGGCACCAGAGCTCTCTGACAGAGAAGGCTCAATGTCTCAGAAAAAAAAATTCCCATGATTCCCTAGCACTAACCCTAACCCTAAAAGTGGACTCAATTTGTACTATTTCTGGCAGTCTGCAATCCCCCTTAGTTTCAAAGGTGCTACAAGATCTCTCTACATACTTATTTATTTAGAAATATACTTCATCGATTTACGAGTATGATTTTTAAAAACCCACTCTTTTGTTATAATATTGTCCAAATGAATAACTCTCCTATTAAACCTCCCCCCACCCCATTTTGAACATGTTTAAAGGCCTTTCAAACACAACTACCAAAACATTCAAACATAAAATGTTTCTCCTAGGTTTTACGATGGCCGAGTAGCTCAAATAGGTGTCACAGATCCAGATATCATTAAAATGGTATTGGTGAAGGAGTGCTACTCAGTTTTTACTAATCGGAGGGTAAGTTCCCATCTCTGATTGTATCTCTTTCTAACGTGTTAGAAAAATCGTTCCATTTTCTCTCTGGAGGCTCATGATCCAAGACAATCCTCTGTCTCTTAGAGCAGGGGTAGGCAAGCTTTCCCCTTTAAGGGCCAAGGGACTTTAGCTCCCAGAAGCCTCAGCCATGTTGGCCAATAGTCCCATGTTGGCCAATAGCTCCTGGGATTCTGGGAGCTGAAGTCCCTCGGCGCATAAAGGGGAAAGCTTGCCTACCCCTGTCTTAGAGGATGGTAACTCGACATACGATGTACTGTCTTTCTGGAATTAAAGAGAGGGAAAGCAATGGATTTTTCAGATAGAAAATTCTGAGACTACTCCTAAGGTACCCCTTGTTGATGCAATAGTGAGGATGGTGATAGTGATGATCCACACAGGATCACAAATACAATCCTATGAAACCATATTTCATGTTTCAGCTCTGCATTCCCAGAATAAAAGTACTGTAATAAAGGTCTTTGCAAACAAACAAACAAACAAACAAAAAAGGACTTTGGTACACTGCAAGAGTAGTGAAACTATTGTTCACTACTTCATTACCAATATATTCCTGATGCAAATACATGGAGGCTCCTTAAGGAATCCATTGTTCTCTGCCACAAAGAGGCCTGTGGCTTCACTGCAATGGAGACATATTGGATTGCAAAAGAGGAGTCCCTGTTGAGATGCAAATGGATTTTAAATTTCCTGGACTTTGCAATCTCCCTATAGCCACATCATGGCCAGAAGAAGGAGGATCCTGCCTGCAAAAGATATCCTCTTTCTCCACCATATATGATCTTAACTAAAGACTGAAAGAACATGTAGGCATCTGACTAACATCTCCAATTGCTTTTTCTCCTGTTTGGTTTGTAACATCTTGCCTGATGATGAAGAAGCCCATGGAGCTTCGAAAAATTGTATATTGTGCCTTTTAGTTGGCCAATAAAGGTATCACTGATGGATTTTCACTCCATTTCCAGTTAGAGGAAAGAGACTAATTTCAAGCAACTCACTATACATCCAGACCCTGAATCTCCTGCAATGCAAAAAGAGTACTATAGCAGGGACGCAGGAGTTTCTTGAGAGAGAGAGAGATTTAAAACATGGATGATGGACGTAGGCTTGGACTCATTGATACAGGCAACAGTAATATTTGAATGCTGGACCCACATTCTTGTCCTTCCCAGATACATTTATTTTCATATTGCGATTGCATTGCCCTCAAAATGCTTTCTTTTTGCAAAAATATCCCACTCAGACATTTGGCCCAACCGGCAAGATGGAAAAGGGTGTTTTCTTTGCTCAAGAAGAGCAGTGGAAGAGGATTCGCACCGTGCTAACTCCAGCCTTCACCAGTGGAAAGCTAAAGGAGGTAAGAACGAGGGGATGGCTTGCAATAGATTTGGCCAGCTCTCTGGGTGAGACTGCTTTAACCATTAACCAAACAACCCTGTACACATGTTGTCAACTGCTGTCTATGGAGACACTGGAGACACTAGGAGCAAGAGACCTCCAAGTCACTCTGTCACCAAAATCCCTACTCACCTCTTGCAGACTCGGGGCCATGGCTTTTGTCCGCCTATCATGCAGCCTTCCTCTTTCTCTTCTTCCTCCTGCTTTGGTCAACTTTTCTAATGAACTTGGTCAACTTTTCTAATGAATCATCTCATCTCAGGACATGGCCAAAGTCCAAAAAGCTCAGCCGTTCTACCTTGCTGGGAGACTTCAAGTTGCATTTGCTCCAGGACTGACTCCTGGGTCATTTTGGAAGTCCAGACTATCCCTAGACCTCTTCCCCAGCGCCACATTTCAAATGAATTGATTGTCTTCCCGCCACCTTCCTTCATTGCCCAGCTTTCGTAGCCATACGTAGGAATGGGAAATAGGATGGGAGAGGCCTCTTGCACCTCGAAAGGTTGGGCATGAGAGGGATTTTCAGCAGGTGTTGCCTATTACCTGGTTGCCTGACAAGCCACAGCTGCTGAAATCTCTCCTCTAAACAGCCACTAAACTTGAAGCTTTGTGATGGTGCCACAACAAACTACAGTTCCCAGGATTCCATAGCATGGAGCCGTGGCAGTTAAAGTGGGTCAAACCAGATTATTTCTGCAGTGTGGATGCACTCTTATATGTTTTTCTACCTGAGACAAGGAACAAAACATGTTCCTCGCCAGCACCACAATCCCATGGAAGGAACCTGACCTGACTGGCAACTGACTGACTCCATTGGACCTGG